AAGGAGTGGTCAGCTGTCAGTGCAGACAGGTCAAGTAACAGGAGCTCTGTGCATTGACTTAGTGATCGGTGTGGTCATTGGTGACTTTGACAAGTGTCAAAGTGACAGGGGAGGTGGAAAATCTGGAGTGTGTTTGGGAAAGAATGGGGTAGCCTCACAATAAGAACAAATGCTAAGCAAACTGAAAATCAACTTTTCTTTGATCCATCAAAGAATGGAGATCACAGGGGAACCACCACAAAAAACTAAAGAAAAAAGAAAATGCAGATAATACAGATCACTTCACTGAAAAGAGAAGCTGCTGGAGCCAATTATCAGGGTTGAAGCAAATTACTGGGGACTGAATGTGGACTCGCTTGAGAGTTTAAAACTCCTGGGAGTTACCCTAAGGGGACCCCACACTCTGGTGGGTTTTACCTCCAGAAGTTTCCTTAGGTTCTCAATGTGAAGATGGCAGAAAAATCCCCTCCTGCAAGGTGGAGGGGGAAAGTAGCCATTTCAAAATACACCTAGACTTTCTGTCTCCATGGCAGAAGGCCGTGCTCAGGGAAAACTGCTTTGCCCAAGTCTTCTCTGACCTCGGAGAAGAGCAGCTAGATGGCTTAAGCCCCCTCTAGCCTTCCTGTCTCACATAAGAAAAAAAAGGCTAAGACATTTCCGAAGGTTTTGGCCCAGGAACTCCATCTCACTAAAAAAGACAAAACAGATTTAATCATAAGGTACAGAATAATTCTTCCTAATACCATACCATCAGTAGGGCTCCAGTATTATAACAGTGGATTATAGCTTTTGAGAAAGCTACAAGACACAGACTCTATTTCAAGAAGGAGTTTCTAGGGAAACCCAAGCACAGAAAGGGAAGACAAAAACAAGGACACCGAAGGAAACGAAACCTCTGACAGCAGATGGAACACAGCCTAGCTGCTAGTCGTCTAATCATGAAACCTCACACTCAAGGCCCATTGACCTCAGTTCCTGTTACCCAATATACATCATGTCCAGCCTCCAATAGAAAGTATACAAGGATGCTAAGCAGACAAAAAAGTCTGATGAAACAAAGCAAGCATCAGAACCAGACTCAGATATGGCAGAGATTTTAGAGTTATCAGACTGGGAATTTAAAGTAACAATGATTGGTATGCTGAGGTCTCTGATGGAAAAAGTGGACAACGTATAAGAACGGATGGGTAATATATATAAAAGATGGAAACTCTAAGAATCAAAAAGAAATGCTAAAAACAAAAACAAGAGAATCAAATACCCTTGAGGGGCTCATCAGTAGTCTCAAAACACCTAAGGAAGGACTCAGTGAGCTTGAAGATATGTCAAGAAAAATGTTCCAAACTGAAATTTGAAGAGAAAAAAGGAATAATGTTTTTTAAAACGTATGGAATATCCAGGAACCGTGAGACAGTTACAAAGGTATAACATATGCATAATGGGAATACCAGAAAGGGGGGGCAGAGAGAGGAGAGCCCCGGTAGAGGTAACTCCAGAGGCTTTGCAATAAAGGGGATCAGAGAATGAGGCTATTATAGGAGGGGGCAAATGGGGTATAGAGTTTTGTTTTTAGGGGCACCTAGGTGGCTCTGTTAAGCATCCGACTCGATTTAGGCTCAGGTCATGATCTCAGGATCGTGAGATCGAGCTGTGTTGGGCTCTGCGCTGGGTGTGGAGCCTGCTTAAGATTCTCTCCCCCTCTGCTCCCATCCCTCAGGCTCATGCATGTTCTCTCTCTTAAAAAAAAAAAAAGTTTTGTTTTTAAGACGTGTTTTATATGCTGATAGGAGTGATCCAGGAAAGCAGGACATTTTGATGCTGCCGGCGGGCGAGGGTCTTGCTGGAACAATGCCCTCAAGGATGCAAGAGAAGGTGGGATCTAGCCGACAAGTGGAGGGACTGGACAAGGAGCAGAGTACGCGAGGAGGGCTGGCAGGGCGGTGTGTGATGGTGAAGCTTGTGGAACTTCTTTCCTGATCGCTTCCGTTTTCAAGGTCATAGCTGAGACACAAGCTGGGGGAAAAGCGGGTGGAGGCTTGAGGCCTTATGAATTAGTCTTAGAAGAGACTGAACGAATTGGGGGAATATAAGGTGGTTGCCAGCTGGTGTTAAGACCTCCCTTAAAGCCCAAATTACTGTGTTCTGTTTATCATTATTACATAACTCAGTATTTTGTCACAATATAATTTGTTGGAAATGTATCCCTGCTTCATAGCATCTCATCACAGTAAGGATTGGGGTTCCCAGGAATGAGGCATCAAATTTGCACGGTTAGATCTCCTTAGTAGGCCAAGTGGCTACTCTGTTATCATATAATGTGCTACTATTTGCCCTGGTTATTGTGTATGGTCATTACTCTTGGTGGTGGGCGGGGGGGGGGTACTATCAGGCATATAGTTGAACAAATTTAACAGGTGCCTTCTAGATCTCAAGGCACCGAGAAGGATGGGATAGCACAGTATTTAAAGTCCGCCTTCATGATGCTTACATTTTGTGGGGAACAAAATACACATCAGGTAGTAAAAGAGCAGGATGAGGGGGTAGGGACTCTGCATTGCTACTTGATATTGAAGGGTCAGGGAAGATCTCTGATAAATGACATCGAAGCAGAGACCTAAAGGATGGAAGGGAGTAAGGCTTTGATGTATCTGGGGGAAATAGTGGGCCAGGCCCTTGTATCTATCTCTACTTTCTAAGCAGATTAAACAGAAGAGGTGACACCCATTTATGTCGACATGCAGCCGCTTTTTACGAAATGCAATAAAATGTTAAACACATCCACTCCTCTCTTGCTGAAATACAATACCATTTATACTTAATAGTACCTTTTTCCTCTTTGAGTAGCAGATTTGGGGTTTTACAGATTCAACTTGTTCCACTTAACTGTATTTAGTATTTCCTGACTGATCACATTGTCACAACCTGGCCAATGGGAGCCCCATTGAACTGGCCGCTTTGCGCTCTCATTAACTGCCCCAAGCCTTTTTTTTTTAAGATTTTACTTATTTGACAGAGAGAGACACAGCGAGAGAGGGAACACAAGCAGGGGGAGTGGGAGAGGGAGAAGCAGGCTTTCCGCGGAGCAGGGAGCCCAATGTGGGGCTCGATCCCAGGACCCTGGGATCATGACCTGAGCGGAAAGCAGATGCTTAACGACTGAGCCCCCCAGGCGCCCCTGCCCCAAGTGTCTTTTAAAGCACCCTTGTTTTTTGGCAACAAGGTATTCCAGGCCCGCTGTGATCCCCGCCCCAAAATATAATTAGCCCTTTTCCACAGAGCCCTGAGTCAAACCAGAGGCCCAATCTGGCACAGGAGTGTGCATCCCACTTGACAGGCATTAGAACCAGTTATAGCCGGATGACACTGCTCTTGGGCCACCAGGGAAACTAAGGCCTGGGAAAGAAATCTTTTTTAAGGTCCTGAGTTCACACAGGCATCTCCAGAGCAGCCATCTTGACTAAATTCTTTTTCATTTCATTCTAATACAATTTTTTTTCTAGAACATACCTACTTAAAATGTAATCCCTTCTTTACCAGATAAACAAAATGTGGTATATCCGTACCACAGAATACTGTTTAGCAATAAAAAGGGACTACTGATCCGTGTTAAATGGATTAACATTATGCATCAAAAACATGCTTCGTGAATGAAGCCAAACCTGCAAGATGCCATGCCGTAGGATTCCACTGATACGAAATACCCAGAAAAGGTAAATTGTAGAGACAAAGCAGATCTGTGCTCACCTGGGCTGGGGTAGGAATAGGGAGCTCTTGGGAGGATAGAAATGGATGTGGTAGGAAATTGCACAACTCCATAGACTAAAACTCACTGAGTTGAAAATAGGTGACTTTTATGGGCACGTCAATTCTATCTTAATACAACTGATAAAAAATTAAACCCTTCTGCCAACTTCTACTTGTACCTCAATTGGTTATATTGACCCAAGATGTTCCATTATATTTACTTTTCTAACAAAAAAACCACCTAAACCTATTTTCCATACCCTGCAGTTTTTATATCCCTCCTGGTCACCAGTCTCCTTATTCTTTGTAGAAGCCGTATCCTCGTTTGGATCCCAGGTACGGCCGGAACATCACAATTTATTGCTCATCTGCTCATGCCCGCCATTTTACACAGGTGCTTCATGCTTACGAACTATTTTCTTTTCCCCCCGATGACTGAAGAGGTCAACAGCTGCCACGATTGTGCCGTCCTTTAGAGCCGTTGTGAGGAGTGAGGGTGAAGCGTTGCTCACCAGCTGCTGCCAAAATATATAAATATCAACCCAGACCACCCTCTGACCTCTGGGGGTGCAAGTCCACAAAGACATATTTCATTTGAAAAATATTGGATTTAATAGAAAATATCACATTGTAAACAAGTCCACTGATCCGTTAGCCTAAGACAGAATGACAGCACAATCACGTATAAAAGCTCAAGACCAAACACTGGTACCAGACACAGCACTTGAAGAGAGGCCTGAGCCAGTCTCTGAAAGATCTTTCCCAGAAGGAGAGGAAGCAGCAGCTTCAAACAGGCACAGAAATAGGGAGGCGAAGGCAGCATCCACTCCACGAAGGCTTAGGAGAGTCAAAAGGCAGAGCAATAAACTCATTTTGTGAACAAGGGGTGAAGGACGGAGGGGCAAAAGGGTTGTATTTCCTGATGTTCTGGGAACGTCAGAGCGCGCCACAGGAACCTGAGCGGGTTGGAAGGGCAGGGTATTTTAAGTGGGGAAAGGCTATTATTAGGCAACTTTAGAAGCATTTGGTATGTTGTCTTTGCGTACTCAGGGAAGGAGAACATGTCGCTCGTGTTGTGACTAAACTTAGGCCTGACTGAGCTGTTGCCTTGGCCTCCATCTCCTTAGCTGAACACACTGACGCTGTGGCAGGGTCTGTTGCCCCAGTGAGACCCTGGAACAAAAACATGGGGCTCTGGTGGGAAGAGGGTTTCCACCTTCCTCCAGGTGCCAGAGGGTCCCGAAGGGAGGGGAGTTTGACGTGGTTAGGCCCCTTGAGACTGAGTTTATCAGCAAAAGCCTTCTCTTTAGCCCTAGCCACCCAGATCCTCCTCCCCCAAGGAGTCCTCCGAGTTCATGGAAAGGCCAACTGTGAGAGCAGGAAAAAAAAAAACAACTAGGGAAAGAAAGTAAGGAATCATTTTCTTTCCATGGCACTTATAACTGAACAGAAGGTTAAGAGTTTGTTCCTTAATCTGGAACAGTGATTCCCAAACAAGAGGCAGGCCTACTCAAGAGGGGCTTTCAAAGAGGTTTGGGCCAAAACACAGGCCCCCACTACCCCCAGTTGAGAATCAGTGTATGTAATGATAGAAATTCCTGACGGGAGTGTGTTATACATGAGAACAGTGCCAGAGGCAGAACAAAAGCTAAAAAACCCTAATCTGTGTAGGGCAGACATCAAAATTATGGAGTACATTTTTCAGAGACTTTTTTTCTGATTAAAGTAGGTTACAGAACAAGTCCTTCTCCCTGTAGCTAAACTCTCATGACTAGGCTCCATGCTGCATAGCCAAGAACAATAAGTATACCCATTTATCTGGAGTAACCATTCTGGATTAAAGAAATACAATTCTGTCCTCATAAAGGCAATTTCCAGAATTGCTCTGCCTGTCCTAAAGAGGTACTCGATGCCAGGATGGGCACAGGCTAATCACCGTATGGTTTCTCAGAAGACTGGTTTTTCTCTGTTTCTTTCTCTTTGATACTGTACAAGGGGTCCACCAACTTGTTATGAACAAGCATTAAACCTGTGAAAAATTAAAAACAAAGTTAATGCAAGTAGAGGCAGAGTTCCACGATGATGAACAATAACATCCAGGAGCTCTCAAATTTTGTCCTAGTACTGAAAATCATCATCTTTTCTCTGTGGCTCCAAATGACAAAAATACTAAGAGTAGTAAAAGAATTTATTATTCCCAATGAATGCTAGAATCCACGGCCCTTTTGTAAATTCACTCTTTAGAGGTGTTGGCTATTGAAAGGTTAATCTTTTCACCAAAGAATAAATTCCTAATTTGCCTGCTTAGTAAATGAGGGTTTTCCCCTAAGTATGCCCAAAGCAGCGTGTCCTTATTTATTTATAAGATTTTATTTGACACAGAGAAAGCCAGAGAGAGCACAAGCAGGGGGAACGGAGCGTCAGAGGGAGAAGCAGGCTTCCCGCTGAGCAGGGAGCCCGATGCGGGACTCGATCCCAGGACCCCGGGATCATGACCTGAGCTGAAGGCAGACGCTTAACTGCCCAAGCCACCCAGGTGCCCCACAGTGTGTCCTTCTTAAAGTAGAAGAGAAAAAGATCCTCGTGAGAGTTCAGTGCCCTACCTAGAGGGGAAGGCCTGGATGAGTCCTGGAAAGATAAAAAAAAAAAAAACCCTGAGCTTCAATAGCCCTGCCAAGAGATCACCACATAGCCCTCGGACTATTTTTCATTTCATTGTCTTCTTGCCTCTGTAGAACAAACAGGCCTCCAGAAATAGACCCTTGCAGTCATGGGTGGAAGAACAATGAGTGTGTATTCTGGGACCGTAAGGTTTGGTTTTTATTAACATCAGTTGTCTATGAAAATGGCCAGAGCCAGAACACGAGACCCGCTCCTCACACCCAGCATACCCCAAACTCCCCGCCCCCTCCCCTCACCTCTGAAATACTTGACGGTTTTCACTTTCAGCTCCAGGGTGGCATCCTCGTCACACACAAATACCGTGCGGGGATGCTGCTGGAAGGCGGATACGGTCCACATATGGCTCACTCCCTCCTCAATGGCCTTGTACAGAGCAAATGCCTTGTGTGCACCTGTGATGAGGATCATCACCTGGGAATCAGAAAACAAGCCTGTGATGGAGGAGAATAAGCAGTGGAACCCGGAGTCCAGAAACCTGAGTTCTGGTCCCGTCACCCCCAACTGGCTGCAAGCACTGTTGTTTTTAATAGACCATTTTAAGTTGTTAGCCGGCAGCACATGGTGCTCCCTGCTCTCTGCCTTACTGCCCAGAGAACCTGAGGCTGGGAGCATCACCATCCCCATGTTCTGTGATGAGGAAATGTGCTCCAGGGGATTAAGTAGCTTGCCCCAGGGCATTTCTGACCCAGAGTCCATGCTCTAGACCACCCTGTGATGGTGCCTCCTGGTACCTTTGATGACAGCTACGAACACATATGCCAGACAAAGGCCCATGCCTCTAATCCCAGCAGTTGGGACACTGAGTCCCAGGGGGTCCTAGGCTGGGTGAGTTTTCACAAGTGCAGTCTGAAGAAGAGGGGTTCCAATATGCACCATCTACAAGGGGCCATGGAAGTGATGGTCATGGTTATTTGTGTGGCCGCTGAGGTTCCATCCCACAAAGGCTGCCCCTTAATCTGGTCACTCTCAATGCCAAGTATTAGACTAATAGGACTTGGGGTGATGTTTTATGTTCAAATAAAACAAAGGCACAGACTCCCTCAACAGTTAAAATATCAAGAACATAAATGCTGGAAGGTGATTGTGAAGGAACTCTGCCCTCTAGATTTCATTGTAATTCGATGTACCATGGAGTTGTGAACAGGATTTACTATTTCTCTCTTAGAAGATGAGACATCAGAAGCATAGAGAGAAGGCAACTCTTTCTGTTCAGGACCCCAGAACTCCTGATTTCCAGACCCAGGTCCTTTCCCAGACCGTAACACCCTCCCAGAACAGGGAGAGCCCTCACACCCTAGTGCTTCCACGCTATTCGGCCAAACACAGCAGGGTGACCCCCAGAGATACTGAGTCAAGGTCACCCAAGAGAAAGCTGGTGACCTCACTCATTTCACAAAAGTTCTCTTGAAATAGGGAGCTTTTTTCACTATGTAGATGTTTGTTTACAGATCTGGGCAAAGAAACTTGAAGCTACAATGTCGGTAACTGCTTCCCACTGAATATACCCCTGAAAGGAAGAGAAAATGCTTTTAAAATTCTACTGAAAGATAGTAAAGAAACTGGAACCACAAAAAATTAAAATGATACCCAACTTTCTAGGGAAAAACACACTCAACTGCGTTTAGACACTTCTATTTAAATCACACTTCTCCGTGTTTACGAGTCCCCGAGCACAAGGCCATAACCACAAATATCCTGGGGTAGCAGGGGGCGCTCCCTTCAAACAGTGACCTCCACCAACTGCAGGGAACCAGCAGTCCCTCTCAGTACCTGGGCAAATGCGAATTCCTATTCGGACGTGAGTAGTGCGGGGCTCCTCTGCCTTGAGAAGCTCCAAAGGGGTGCGTAAGCGGAGGCCGGGGAGCCTGCAGCCTCCCGTGCAGCCAGTGTGGAAAGGGTCCTGCTGAGAACAGACTAGTGGTTGCCTCCAAAGAGGAAGGAGGACCAGTGAGAGATCAGCTGGGATTTTAGCCGTATTTATAATGCCTTCATTTTTAGTTCACAGTGTTGTCAGGTGGTTCCTGTATAGTTAATGACAGACAAGTCCAACCCCCCAAGGAAGGCCTGGGGACCCCATGTGCCCTTACCTCTCTAGCATCCATGAGAGTGCCCACACCCACCGTCAGGGCCATGGTGGGCACCTTGGTGAGATCACCATCGAAGAACCTAGCATTGGCCAGGATGGTGTCCATGGCCAGAGTCTTCACACGGGTCCTGGACACCAGACTGGAGCCCGGCTCATTGAAGGCAATGTGTCCATCAGGGCCGATGCCTGCCCGGGAGAAACAGCCAGGGCAGCCCTGTCAGTCCCAGGGATCCAAGATTTCAGGAAGGGACAATCTATCCTTCCCCACCTGGGGTGTGTAAAATCCTTGAAATCATAGCTCTTTCCTCATTCACCCTGGGCAGGTGCCCTTTAAGTGTAAGATCCTCCCCTCTCCCCCACCTCCTAGCCATTTCTGTTTGAGGCACACACATGACCTGGTCACCTTGTGACCACCCTCAGAAAGCTAAGCAAGCAGTAATCCAAACAGCTTCTGCTTCACTAGAGCAGCGAAGGGTAACCTCTCCTGCCAGTAGTCAGGGGTCCTGCCGCTGGGATAGTCACAGCAAATAAAAAAACAGGGACTGGACAAGGGTTGCAAAGTTTTTAAAATCTTTGAACATGAGTGCTCTCAGCCTCTTCCTCCTACCTTGAAGTAAAGAAGAGTTAAGTCTAGAGCAGTAAAAGCTTAACGCTCCCGTGGGTGGCTCCAGAGATGGCAAAAGATGGAAACGTAAGGGGGCAGCCCAGGGTAGGGACAGAGCGCAAACTGAGAAGGGGACACCCTTGGTTCCTGCTTTCTTGCCACTTCCCTGGCTGACCTGGGGCAAGTCACAAAACTTCTCTGGGGTTCACATGGCTGTCTACAGTGTGCAGGGGCTGAGTGCAGAATCTTCTCGAACCATAGGAGTCTTTGATTTTAACTGTTTAGGTAAGTCCCGTGAACTGATCCATATAAAACCTCAGGACTAGGGAATAGAATCTTTGAATCCAAATCCAAACATCTCACTTGACTAACAAGGCACGGGAGTGCAGAGAGAGGAGATGTCCAAGATCACACGGTCATCGAGCAGCACGGCCAAGGCAGGGAGTGAGGGCTCCTATCTATGTCTTCCCTGCCTCCTCAGGGGAATAAACGGTTCCTGCTATTACCAGCGCAGTGAGAAAACTGTTGGGAGGCAGGCATGGGTCCTGTCCCCCTCCCGTGTGTTCTCAGCACCCTGGGCCTGCCCTGGACACGTGCCGCAGAGTGTCAGGCTCACCTCCGACAAACAGCTCAATCCCCCCTGCGGCTTTGATCTTTTCTTCAAAGGCGTCACACTCAGCCTGCAGGTCAGGTGCATTCCCATCCAGAATGTGGGTGTTTTCTGGGAGGATGTCAATGTGCTTGAAGAAGTTGTTCCACATGAAGGAGTGGTAACTCTCCGGGTGATCTTGAGGAAGGCCTGTGGGACCATGGCAACACTCAGTCATACCGAGGCTGAGCCAGAGCCCTCCTCCCAAAGCGGATGCCAGGATGCCCTCAGACCTCCACAGACACTTTCAGGGGAACGCCCATCAGGGGGCCTTGGGCACCAGGCCACGATCAGCCACGACTGGCTGGGGTGGTATCCCCGTGTCCACCCACCACCACCACCTGTGACGGCAGGACTGGCCCAGAGTGACTGCACCCCGGGAGCCTGAGAAATCCCCTCATTCTCATCTCCTTTTCACAAGGGAGTAATTGTAGGCGGGAGGCCAGGGTCACTCTGGGCTTCTGGAGGAGGCCTACAACCTGGGGGTAGGGCTTGGCCCATCTGGGACAGGAAGCAAGCATACCCCTTGCCCGTGCCTCCCACCCCACCATTCATCCCCAGTTATACCCCTCTGAGCCTGAGGGACAAACTTGGACACCAGCTGGTTGGAGAGAATTCTCTCAGGGCTTCCCCAAAATGATTTTTAGCAAAGAAAAAAAAGTTTCAAGTGGATGTTTAATTAAACATGAAGAATGTTTAATGTCAGCCTTAAAAAGGACTGAAATTCTGACATACCACAACACGGACAAACCTTGAGGACATTTTGTTGAGTGAAATAAGCCAGTCACAGAAAGACAAATACTCTCTGAGTCCACTTAAATGAAGTATCTAGAGTAGTGAAATTCACAGAAGCAGTAAAACGATGATTGCTAGGGGTTGGGAGAGCGGGCAATGGGTAGTTGGTGTTGAATGGGTAGAGAGTTTCAGTTTTGCGAGATGAAAAGAGTTCTGGAGACTGGTTACACAACACCGTGAATATACTTAACGCTGCTAAACTGTACGTATAAAAACGGCTGGATGGTAAATTTTATGTCTATTTTACCACAATTGAAAACAAGAATGTTTAAAGTGTAGCCTTACAAAATGATGGCGGGGGTGACAGAAGACCAAGGTATAGCTTTTCAGCCCTGGAAGGGACACCAGTCTCTGCTCCTCTCCCAGTGTGCCTGGCAGAAAGGCGAGCTGGAAGATGAACGCTGGAGAGACCAGACAGACACGGAGGCACGAGCCCATTGGCAATTACTGGTTACCGAAAGAAACGGCATGGAGTTGGGGAGGAGGCAGAGGAGAAGGAGATCCTCTAACATTTAAAATGGTTGCTCTGCACAAGAGGCTTCCATATCCGTGAGATCACTTAATGCTTACAACCTGAGGTCAGCTTTCAGAGCACCATTTTATACCTGAGTACACCAAGGCCTGGAAGAGAAAGGTTTCGCTAATGGAGCTTATCACCAAACATCACTGGGTCCCGGAGACAATCCTATTCCCCTCCCGGGCTGCGCCTGAACGGGGAGGAGCAGGACTCTCCTGGAATCAGGGAAGACCTGGAAAGAGACAGACTCACCCACATACTCATCCATGTTGAAGGTCTTCACATATCTGAAGGACAGGTCTCCATTCTTACAGTACTCAATGAGCTTCTTGTAGCAGCCAATTGGGGTGCTCCCTGTGAGAGAGGCCACAGCCATGAACACCCTTCAGCTCCCAGCTCCTGAGGACACCCAGGGATGAGGGCTGCTCAACAGGGGGAACCTGTCAGATCTGAAGCCCTCCCCCGGTGCCCCAGTCCTAACCGCCATCCCGTCCGCGCTTCCGAAGGCTACCTCCCCACCTCCCCACCAGAGTGTGAGATCCAGGAGGCCAGGGCTGTGTCTGTCTCGTCCGCTGCCGAATCCCAGTGGTCGGCACACTGCTGACCGGCACGACCGGAACGAGTAACCCGAGTAAACGTCACACCTAACGTCCTGACGTGTTCGGTGAGCAACTAGTATGTGGGAGGCAGTGGGCCACATGACGGGAACACCAAGGAGGCACAGACACACAGCCGCTCGGAACGAGCTCACTGGCTGGGGCTGGCCAGCTGTGACCAGCCCAAGTCTGTGGGCTCAGGAAGACTTCCCCGAGGAGCAGCAAACTCCTGCGAATTGAGTCTCATTAAAAAGTCAAGGTTCTAGAGCACACAAAAAAGGCAGGAGGGCCTCTGTAGATTAAAGAACTAAATATGCGTGAAGTCTGGATACTGGATTATAAAAGATAAATGTGGACAATGAGGAAAAAACCGTTACTACTGTCTACATAACAGACGATATTATGGAATGATTTTTTTTAATAGGTATGGTAACAGTGTTGTAGTTGGGTAAGAGAACATCTGTACTCTGAGGGGACAGATGCCAAAAGATATAGAGGTCAATCGTCAGGAGGTTTGCGGAGGTTTGCAACGTACTTTCAAGTGGCTCATAAAAAAAAAAAACTGGTGTGTGTGTGTGTGTGTGTGTGTGTGTGTGTGTGTGTGTGTAGACAGAGAACACGAGCCAGAAGAGATGAAGGGTAAATGTGGCAAATACTAACAATGGGCGAGCCTAGGAGAATTGTACTGTACTATTCTTTCAGCTTTTGTGAATATTTGAAATTTTTTAAAATAAGAGGATGGAAAGAAAAAAGCCCCACCCAAATCAGATCACTCTTTTCACAACCTACTAATGCCTTCTTATTTCACTGAGTCATAACCAGTCCTAACACCGGCCCCCCATAACTCGGCCCCGGGTTCCCACCCTCACCCGTATTCACCCCGCTCCTCACCTGCTCCTCCTTCAGGTACCCGCACAATTCTCACCTCTTCTGGTCTCTACTCAGATGTCGCCTTCTCAGAAAGACCTTCCCTGCCACCCTATCCGACACCGCGGACCCACTCCCCTGCCTAGACATTCCCTCTCCCCGCTTCCCTGCCTCATTTTTCTCCTTCACTCATCACCACCTAACATACTCTGTATTTTGTCAAGTAACTTGCTTATTGTCTGTCTCTCCTACTACCATTTAAACTTCAGGAGGCAGGAGTTTACGTCTTTTTTGTTTGTCGTCGTATCCCCAGCACCTAGAAGAGTTCGGCATACGGTGGGCTTTCACTAAATACCTGCTGAATCAAAGTTCCCTCCCCGCCCCATCCCCAGGCTGTCCCTGTGCCAGGGCCTCAGCCGTGCCTGCGCCCCACAGCTTCCCTGGCCTTCCCCTGAGCTTCGTCATGTCATGTCCGCTTTCCAAACTTCGAGCTTTCCCCTCGATTCTGTGAGCTCCCCGTTATCTAGCCAATACATTCCTTTTCTGCGTAAGTGAGCCAGAGCTGTTTCTTTGGTTTCCACCCAGAACCCCCGACTGGCATTTCACCTAACAGAAGCCATGTTCCAAGGAACCCAAAAGGAAACGCTGTGCCGGTTCAGGTACGGCAGTCAGGAGGGGGCCAGGTCTTGGAGGGCCCTGAAGGCCACACTGAGGAGCTGGGACCTGATTGTGCAGGTGATGGGGAATCAGGGAGGGATCTCAGCAGGAGCAGAGACTCTAGCCCAGAGAAGCTCCACAGTTAGAAAACAGGACGTCAGGGCGCCTGGGTGGCTCAGTTGGTTAAGCGACTGCCTTCGGCTCAGGTCATGGTCCTGGAGTCCCGGGATCGAGTCCCACATCGGGCTCCCTGCTCAGCAGGGAGTCTGTTTCTCCCTCTGACTCTCCTCCCTCTCATGCTCTCTCTCTATCATTCTCTCTCTCTCTCAATAAATAAATAAAAATCTTAAAAAAAAAAAGAAAAGAAAACAGGACGTCAGTGCAGCCCCTCCAGGGCCCGAGACGTTAGCGGTTTCGCAGCTACGTGCAGCTATGTTCCCACAAGTGTCTAGTGCAGAGGCCCGCAAACTTCAGCCCACAGGCCAAATCTGGCCCGCTGCCTTTGTTTATATAGCTCATCAGTTAAGAATGGTTTTTACACTTTTTATGTTTATAAATATCAAAAGAGTCTGACTCTGTGACATGTGAGAATCATACGAGTTCAGACCTGAGCGTCCATCAGGCTCTATCGGTAGATGGCCAGGCGCATTCATTTATGTGTTGCCTGCAGTGGCCTTTGAGCTACAAGGACGGTTAAGTAGTTGCGCCAGAGGCCATATGGCCAGGGAAGTGTAAAATATTAACCATGTGACCATTTACAGAAAAAGTTTGAAGGCCCCTGCTCTAGTGGATGGGACACTGGGGCAAATCCACCCAAACTCGGAGAGAAAGAATCAGGACCATATGCCTTGAGGAGCTGGGGTCAAAATAGATACCCTCCCATAAAGGCAACAAGCTGATTTTTCCAGAAGAAACTGAGGCTGTTTTTCAAGTAGGTCCTGCGTCTAATTAAACCTTACAGAAAATGCCTTGAGTAGACTATCAAATTCTGCCAAGGATGGTACTCAGGTAGTAGCACTCGAGATGCACAGAACTTAATTCATTACATAAAATGTATGCCTGAAGGCATTAGGACTTAATTCTGTTAAGGACTCCTAGATTCCGAGACAGCCTGTTGGGGACTGGGCTGATTTAGAATGGAGCTGAAAAATCAAGTTCTTCCGGCCTAACCAAGATCCCTTCTACTCCAGAACTCTTCAGGAGCAGGCAGCACCTAAACCAAACCATAGAGGAAGCTGGGTCCTCTTGTTTTGCGTTTCCAGGAAGCAGGGCTGTTCACTCATAGCACCAGCACCCTAGAGCCCTCCTTGTAAGTCTCCTGGCTCAGTGAGCCCACGTACCTGGCCCCTTAAAAACCCTAATGCTCACTCACTCCCCCACAATCCATGGCACCCTCTCCATCCCCCAACGCACCAGTGGGAAGTCCCAGGGTGAAGTACTTGTCTGGCCCCGGGTTAAACTGGATGATGCGATTCCTGATGTACTTGGCTGCCCACTCGCTGGCCTGAGAATAATGGTCCAGGATGATGAGCTTCATCTTGTCCTGTAGGAGGCAGGTGACAAAAGGAATCAGTGGTAAGGGACAGGGAGAAAGGGATGCAGGTGGCTGGGGGGAGGGGAGAAGCCCTTCTCAGCCAGCAACAACCTCTCTCCAGGGTGTCTGAGCAAGGAAGAGGAAGACCCCAACTTTCGGTTCACAGAGGAATTAACAGGCTGGGCCAAGTGCCTCCACCACCCACCAGGAGGCGCTGCTGTGAGACAGACCGGGGTTCTAATCTCAATTCCTCCATTTACCAACCGCAGGACCTTGGTCAAAGGACTCAAGTTCTCCCAGCCTGTTTCTTCTTACGTGAAAATGGGGACAATAGTACCTACCCGACAAATTTCACGATGGTGAATATTAAATGAGGGCATGTAAACCACACACTATTCAATATGTTGGCTGTTATCCTGTAGCTCGACCCAGCCCCCTTTCCCCACTTCTCTGCCCCCACGCGCTGGATAGTCTGTACCCACGGCCTCTTCCTCAATAGAGGGGTCATGGGACCATATGGGCCACTATAGCAGGTGAGAGCCGTGGAGTTTGCCTGGAGACGTGTGTTCTCCCGTAGAGGGGTGCTCCCGCCGGCCTTGCTTTGTGGACCCTCAGTTTCCCCCCAAAGCACAGGGGTCAATGTAATCGCCCCGCACTGCGATCACTCAGGGTGGGAGGCGGGGATGGCGGTCCCGGCCAGCCGAAGGATACAGGAGTGTTTGCCCGACGCCGATCGCGATCCCATCGCCCCTCCGGCCCTGCACCGGGAAGGGGGGGTCCCAGCAGTTCGCTGGGCTCCCGGCTCCTGGGGAACCGGAGGCTGGGGCAGCGCCTGGACCCCCGCCCGCGCCCACCCGCGAGGAGGGTCCCGTCAACCCCGCTCCCCACTTACTCGGACACCCCCGCGGCGGCTGCAGCAACTGCGCCGGCGGCCCCGCCCCGCGCGGGTCACGTGGCCCCGGGTCACGCGGAGCGGCTCTCCGACGGAGGGGCTGACTCTGCTGGGCCCACTGTGGGGCCCTGGCCGCCCGCGGCCTCTGCACTGCCTGGGGCCGGCCGCCCCCCCCTCTCCGCTCGGCTCCGGGAGCAGCTGTGGGAGGCGAGGCTTGGAGGCCGGTTTTGTGCGGCCTGGAGACTTGGGGGCTCCAGGTGGCCCCGAGGAATGCAGTGCCCAGGCCCGGGGGGGGCTGGGGCCAGGTTTTTAGTGCTGGCGGGGAGGAAGAGCAAAATCGCTTCCTTAAAGCCTCAGGGATTGGGCCTGGCTCTGCCTTCCGTTTAACTTTTTTAGGTGCCATTTTTTTTTTTTTAACCTGGATATTACAACTTTTTTGCTTTAAATATAATTAGATTTTTCTTTCTTTTTTTAATCTTAATCTTCACAGCAGTCTATACTAGAGAAAGAGGGAGGTCCCTGGTCTCCCCAGCTCCCCACCCCAAGATAACATTGCTGAGAGTTTAGGCTACATTTCCAAAATCTTTTTCCTTGAATATATTTTACATTTTACAGAAATGGAAACACACCACACATGATGTCCACAGGGAGCTAGGTGGCCATATTCCGCAGGTCCCATGATTGGGCTCACCCCTCCCCTGGGACCCAGCTGCAGCTCCAGCCCAGCTTGAAAGAGGTGGTGTTGGTCTGGTGAGGCCCTGATGAGATGAGGCTATGGAGCTAATACCTCTACAGTTCTAAGGATTTGTTCTTTGGCCTCAGTGTTGGTTTAGTTGTTAAAACAACAACAAAAAACACACACACAGAAAGACGATGCAGTCAGAAACCTCATCTCAGCTTGAGCACTGTAGATGTTTCACAACCCCAATCTCCAAACACAGCAGATAACGGGGCCTGGTCTCCACCAGCTGCATTCCCATCGTTCCAGGAAGAGTGACTTCATGTGACTTTAATTGGGCCTGTCGCCCCCACCCCTACCCCCATTACCCTTTCTGTAGGGAACCAGTTCCAGGTCTCTCTTAAGCCTGGCAGCTCTGGAATCAGAGAGCTAGGGGACAAATCAGAAAGATCTGGTTTAGTCAATCCCTGGTTCTTGAGTGAGTGACTCAAGCAAATGACTCAACTTCTCCAGCTCTGAATTTTCTCTTCTAAAACATGGGAACCGAATGGGGATACATAATCCTGACCTCAGGTATCTGTTGTGAGTACTGGATGAAACAGTAGCATAGCCTGGCATTCATGGCCAGCCATGATTACCCCTCATGTCCTCCCAGCCTCCCTACAGCCTATTCTCTACCCTGCAATGCTCTCTACCCTAACCTCCTGCCCCCTCATGTTCCTCCCAGTGCATGTCTGGGTTTGAACTTACCCATACCCGTCCTTCCGTTCTCGTTTTAGAACCAAAATGGGCTAATTCAAAGAGTTGTGGATTCATCCTTACGGTGGAACACTCCGCAGCTGTCCTGTGGATGGATGTTTTTGTACTCTTTCGTTGCCCTTGCTTTGCGTGAAGACATTGCCCCAAGCCTCTGAAAATCCTGCTTGGGGCTTGGGGTTCATGTGGGTTTTGTGAAGCTGGTCCTACCCTCTGGCCTAATCAATTAGAGAGCTCCATGGCCCTGGCCATGACTGATTCACGACTAGGCAGACACGGAAGATACTAACCCAACAGCCACTCACAGCCTTCCTTCTCCTTTGCTGCTTCCCACTGTAGCCTCTGGAAAGTGAGCTACTCTCCCAGCTTCTCAGCCAGGATGTGGCCAGGTAACCTAGTTTGGGCCAGTGAAGTAAAAAGATGGCTCTGGGAAGATACTCTGCTTTCTGAGAAAAGTGACATGCTTGCAAAACAAACTGTCTGTTCCTTCCCTTTTCTTCCTGCCTTGATGGCAGATGTGATGCCTGGAGCTGGGAAAGCTGTTTTATGACCATGAGGCAACAAGCATAGGATAGAGTGAAGGATAGAAAGAACATAAGTCCTTAATATTTGACCAGTGCTGGGACTCCTGCTTCTGGACTTCTTCTAAGTAAATAATAAATATCCTATGGTTTAAATGTTAAGCCACTGTTAGTAGAGTTTTCTGTGACTAAAGTTGAAAACGTGACTCATTGTTACGGTGGATGACTCAGGTCTTCCTCGGGGTTTATGCTGGTATTTTGGGGAGATACATTGTGGGGAGCTGTAAAATCCAGAAAAGTTTAGAGCTGCCAGTGAGAAAAGCAGAACCAAGGGAAAAGTGATACAGAATCCTGATGTCATCATTTGATCCACTTAGATCTAGCCATCTCTGAAACCAAATATACCCCATGAAGTTCAATAGTTGGGTGAATGAATGAGTGAAAACATAAATAATTTTTTTTTACCCTGAGGCTAGTTAGAGGAAATTCTGGAAGGATACTTAGTTATCTATTGCTGCATAATAGATGATCCCAAAACTCAATGGCTAAAAACATTAAGTCCAATAAGAGCCAAAGAGAAATGTGCTGTGAAGCCATGAAAAGACATGGAAGGAAACTCAAGGGTGTGTCACCGAGAGAAGCTGATCTGAATAGACTATGTCTGCTGTAAGAGTCCAACGATATAACATTCTGGAAAAGGCAAAACTAGAGAGATAGTAGAAAGATCAGTAGTTGCCAGCAGTTAGGGAGGAGGAAGGGATGAATAAGTGGAGCACAGAGAATTTTTAGGGCAGTGAAACCGTTCTGTATGATGCTGTCAGGGTGGATACGTGTTGCTCTACACGTGTCTAAACCCAGGGAATGTACGAGAATGAACCCTGATGAAAACGGTGGGCTTTGGCTGATTACGACGTGTCAGTGTAAGTTCATCATACAAATAACAAGTATTTGTTATATTTATAACAACACATGTGCCCCCCTCTGGTGGGAGATGGTGATAATCCCGGGGGCTGTGCATCTGTGGGCACAGGAGGCATATGGGCTTCTCTGTACCTTCCTCTCAATTTTGCTGTGAACCTAAAAGTGCTCGCTCTAAAAAAAAATCCTTTAGGACACCTGGGTGGCTCAGTTGGGTAAGCGTCTGCCTTCGGCTCAGGTCATGATCCCAGGGTCCTGGGATGGAGTCCCCACATCGGGCTCCCCGCTTCTCCCTCTGCCCTTCCTCCCACTCGTTCTCTCAATCTCTCTCTCAAATAAATAAAATCTTTTTTTTTAAGATTTTATTTATTTATTTGAGACAGAGAGAATGAGAGAGCGAGCACATGCTTCATCCATAAAATAGGAAAAATATCTTCCTTATAGTATTTACTATTATAATGAAGAATGATTACCTCAGGGAGGAATACATGATTTAATAGATGTAGGGCACTTAGAATAATGCCTGGCACAGAGTTAGCCGTCGCTAAGGAATTGTTTTGAAATGGGTCTCGAAAGAGAATTAGGATTTGGTCGTTGAAGAAGAGGAGGATGGCATTACAGGCAGGGGTGATCATGGAGGCACAGAGGCTGGGGCTGAGGTGTGCACCAACGTAAAAAAATAAAAACACAGAACACCCAGTTACATTTGAATTATTCCTACACATATATACTTTGAGATAAAAAAAAATTGCATAAAACCCACTTTTTTTTTTTTTTAAGATATGCTTATTTATTTGAGGGGGGTGGGGGGAGGAGCAGAGGGAGAGATAAAATCCTAAGCAGACTCCCTGCGGAGCAAGGAGCCTGACTCCTGGTGGAGGGGAGGCTGGATTCCATGACCCCAGAGATCATGACCTGAACCAAAATCAAGAGTTGGACGCTTAACCCATAGAGCCACCCAAGACATACCTATTCTAAAAACAGATTTGTTGTTTATCTGAAATAAATTATAAGTATCTAAATTACATCCCTATTTATTTCATTATATTTCCCTGGTGATTTGGCTCTCCTTAATAGCACCTTGTTTTGCAGAATTTGCTTATAAAATTCCCTGAAGTTACAGTCTATGTTCCATTTACATTTTAACATGATTTCTGCAGTGGTCACATTCAGCTTATTCTGTTCTTGGCCAAAGAACAGATAATAGAAAGTACAGCGAGAGTCAAAGAGATTGAATTTGAAGATCTCACAGCTGCAACAGTGCACCTGCATTCACAAGTCTGACCTCACAACTAACCATCAACAGGGGTCCAAATGTTCAAAGGGCTGCAAATTTGTAAACTAACATTGGACTTGATGTCTGATGCAAAAAAGATGCACTTCATGTTTGCCTGAAAGTGAGACGTGTGCTTTTAAGTCTTAATCAGCAAGAGCTGGTTTTCGGTAAGGCTTGGGGAAGCATGGTGCAAGGGGCCAGTGGGCTTTCACAGAAGAAAGTGCGCAGAAACGTTCAGGACTCTCAGCTGAGCGCAGCACTAGAGCAAGGCTGCTTCTGACTCGCTGACTTTCAAGCTTGGGCTCTGGAGTGAGGGACTTGCTGATTGGCTGTTGTCTCGCAGAGGCTGTCACTGATTGGCTGGCTTTCAGAGGCTGGGGGCTGTCCTTGACTTGCTGACTTTCAGAAGCTTGGTTGCCGGGGTGAGATTATCGCTGATTGGCTGATTTTCAGAACAAAAATCGTAAGTTATCTTTTATTAATGGTGCTCACCGTTCACGACTTGGGACTTTAGCGGAAGAACAGTATTTTCCTTTTCTGAATATGAAAATAAGTACCTTTATTTTGCAGTCTTCCCTTTTATGCTTCCCTCAGTTAAACCTGCAGGAGACCATACGGGATTGTCCAGATCTTTATTTGTAAAGATATGCTTTTCAGTTAGTGTGGCCTTTAATTGATTTAAGTCCCAATTACGGTGGAGGAAAAATAGCTCTGATGCTTTTTTTTTTTTACCCCCTCAGGGTGGTACAGTCGGTTAAGTGGCCAACTCCTGGTTTCGGCTCAGGTCATGATCTTGGGGTCCTGGAATCGAGCCCTGTGTCGGCGGCCTCTGTACTTTGGGGGGAGTCTGCTTCTCTCCCGCTGCCCCCCCCACGCCCTCTCACTCATGCCTTCTCTCTCTAAC